TGCGGCTGGGGTGTTGTGTGAGATCGTGCAGGGATGCCTTCTCCCCTTCTCTAAGAAATAAACGAAGGCGAAGCTTTCTCCAGTGCTGCTGCTTGGCCTCTCCTTGCACCCCAGCCATCGCACGTTACTCGGAGGGCTTTGGGGCTTCATCTTTCTTTCTCTCTGTCTCTCTCCCTCCTCCTCCTCCTCTCTCTCTCTCTCTCTCTCTCACACACACACACACACACACACACACAGTATGATAGAGGAAAATGATGTCATAGTTTTGTTTTCTCTGACTGTGAGGGAGCTGAGCTTCCTCTTCTGGGAACTTCGTCTTGTGGTTTGACCATTTTCCTTCGGGCTGTAGACCCTTTAGAGATCTCTATTTGAAACACCACGATATTGATCCCATTTGGGTAGTGTTCAAAATCATGAAGTGAGCATCAATTCTCAAAGAAATGTATGCAACTTTTGTTAAGAAGAAGACTAGCCCTGTGGTTTTATTTTAGGTATAAAAGATCTGATTAACAGGGATGCACCCCATGTCATAGACAGGGAGATGCGTTATCACAAAGATGTCAGCTCTCCCTAAATTAGCCTCTGTATTCAGCAAGTGCAGGACTTTGAAAGACGCTGATGACATTTTGTAAGGTCTAAGAAACTTTGGAAAAGAAGGATGAAGGAGGAGGCTTTCCTTATAGCTATCGTTTCGATAATGGTTTGTGCCCCAGAGTCTCATGTTCTGGAAACGTGGTCCCCAGTGTAATGGCTATGGGAGGTGGTGAGGCCTTTAGGAGGTGGATCCGATCAGCTGATCAGCTGAGGCGTGTGGGGGGACGCAGAGAGAAAGTGAGGAGTGCTGTGTCCTCTTCCTTTGCACACCCCTCCCTCTTGGCTTCTGTCAGCCATGTGTAATGCTGCATCAGAGGCTGGCTCGAAGCCAGCCCCACACCTCTGGGCTTTCCATCCATCAGAATCGCGGGCCAAATAAGCCCCTATTCTCTATAAGTCACCCAGCCTCAGATATTCCTGGTTAGCAACACGAAAGTGGACTAAGATAGTTATCAGATATTAAAATGTATCAAAAAACTAACACAATAAAAAAAATGATACTAGTATAAGATTGCATCAATCAATTAAAAACAAGAGTACATAAACGAACTGTATGTAGAGATCAGTAAATAAATGTTATTAGGACAATTGGCTATTCATTGACAGAAGAATGCAGATAGATAATTCACCTTACATTTAAGGTAAAATTAGAATGTAGGGGCTAGGGCCAGCAGGTGGCATGGAGGTTAAGGTGGCTGGATCCCACATGGCCGACTAAGCAGTTCAAGTCCCAGACCTGGCGGCTTAAAAATCATGCCAGGTGCATGTGTGTGTGCATGTGTGTCCACAATCCTGAATATACCCTATGGCAAAAATCTTTAAAGAAAAAAGAGAGAGAGAGAGAAAGAAAAAGAAAATGTAGCTGCCATAAAAGGAACTAGAGAATAGATAGAGACTATGTTAATGATCTTGGAGTGGAAAGGGATTTCCTAAGCACAGCATAACATGGGGAAAAGATGACTATGTAAATAGAAATTAAAGTTAGAATGCAACCACAGTCGGAGAAATCATTTGCAACACAAGTGGCACAGGATGTGTAGCTAGAGCTTGAAAAACTCGTAAGAAAAGGACAAAAATAGCTAAATAAAAAGTCAGAGGGTGTTAGCAGGTATTTAAAAAAAAATAGATACAGAGGCCAGCAGGTGGCATGGTGGTTAAAGCACCAGACTCCCACATGGCTGACCGTGGTTCGAGTCCCAGACCTGGCAGCTTGCTTTCTCACTTTCCCTTTTTCTCTGTCTCTCTCTGGTCACATTAAATAGCACTCATACAAATGTAACTAAATAAACAATTATTTTTTTAAAATGAATACAATTAGCTAATAAATATATGAAAATATACCCAGTAATAATCCAGGGATATAAATGTAAACATTATGATCCATTAAAATTTAAATGACCAATAAAAAAAAATCAGCAAGAACGTGGAAAATGGGCCTCCTCACTCATCCTTGGCTGAAGCATGAACTGGTACAAACTTCTGGAGGGCAATTCAATAATATATACAAAAATCGTCCACTCATGGCTTCTGACCGCTTCCAGGAACCTTCCCGATGGCAGCACAATGGACGTGCGTGTGGTATAAGAGTACCTATCACATTATTTTTAAAGGAGGTTATAAAAAGGAAGCAAGCTGGGGCTCAGCTATGGCGGCTCACACTACGATGGCTGGGACCACGTGAGAGGCTGAGTCTGACTCCTGGCCCAACCTAAGGGCCAGCTGTTGGTGTGCACCTGTAATTCCAGCGGCTCGGGAGGATGGGGAACATGGTGAGATCCTGTCTAAAAATTCAGCCAGGTATGGTGGTGCACGCTTGTAGTCTCAGCTGGGAGGCTGAGGCAGGAGGGTCATGACAGCAAAACTCTCCGAAAGAGAAAAGCCTAAACAGCTGGAAGGGCAGCCCACAGTGCAGCAGTACGGTGCTGTGCAGAGAGAGCTGGATCCCACGTGGCCAGCTGTGGCTCAAGTCCCCCGGCTGCTGGAAAAGCATGCTGGGCACGTGCACGTGTACCTCGGGTCCTGGCAGGATGGGGAAGTGGAGGGAAACGGAACTGCAGCACGAGCACGTCCCACTGGGGGTGCTCTCCCTCTCCCCCTTCTCTCCCATGCACATACACACATGTGCCCTTTGGCAAAAAGAAAACGAAGTTGGGGCCAGCAGGTGGAGTGGACTCCCACATGGCCGACCACGGTTGGACTCCCGGACCTTGCTTTCTCACTTTCCCTCTCTTTGTGTGTCTCTCTCCAGGCAAATTTAAAAATAATAATAATAAATGAAGTTTAATAATAAAAAACAAAACTAGGGGCCAGCAGATGGAATAATGGTAACATTGCTGGACTCCCCGTAGTCAACTGTGGTTGGAGTCCCGGACCCAGCGGCTTAAAACTCAGAGTAGAGTGGAGAAGGCATTGCAGCATGGCCATCCCTGCTGGGTGGTGATTTCCTGCTTTCTGTTGTAGTCAAATCAGCGAGAAATAAGAGGACATCCAGACCTAGCCAAATTATTGAAGTTTTATTGCTGGAGACTTACAGGCAGACTCATCTCTCAAAGACCCCGCAGCCCCTGTGAAAGTAGAGAGGTGCTTTTAAGGCAAAAATCATAATCCTTTCTGAGTTCACCTGGTGATTACAGTGGAAATGAGGAGGGAGCAAAGAGGAAAGGGAGTGGGTTCCCAAGTGAAAGCAGGTACGGAAGCCGAATGAAGCAGGTTGATAACTTCTAAGGGCACTTCCTAAACTTCCGTTTTATGGTCCCCGTGGCTCCAGGCAGGGTCTGATGATTGGCGGTCACCTTGCTAAGGAACAGCTACACAAAAAGGTTTCAGGCTAGTTAGCAAAGACAGTAAGACTGTTTTTTTAAAAATAATTATTTTATTTATTTATTTTTAATTTAACTAG